TCCTCTTCCACCACCTCCTCCTCCTCCTTCTCTTCCTCCTCCTCCTCCTCCTCCTCCTCCTTCTCTTTCTCCTCTTCCTTCTCCACCTCCTGCTCCTCCTCCTCCTTCTTCTCTTTTTAGCAACTGCTGAGCTCTCCAAGAAAACCTTAACTGCTTCCACGGAAGAACTTCTAGCAACTCTGCAGGGCCAGATAGAGTCTCTAACTCAGAAAAACAAAAAATTAATGGAAAAAATACAGGTAAATCCTAGCTTTGCCCATCTGGGCATTTACCATGTTTTTGGAGTATAAGACGCACCGAAGTATAAGATGCACCTTAATTTGGGGGGAGGAAAATAGGGGGGGGGGCGGAAATCTGCCTACTAGGTATTCATCTCGCTAGCGTCCTTAGTCTGGTCAGCTTCAGCACATAATTTTCTGGTTTTGAACATATGCACACACACAGACTTTTTATCCCCTAGTTGGGGATAAAAAGCAGCTTCTAAAGTACAGCTGATTGTCAGAGGGAGCAGTAATGAGGAATGCAGGCGCAAAGCACAGAAGATCCCTTCACTTGTTAGCGCCTCATTAGGGCTGAAAACAAGGCTTCCAAAAAGCTACATTCGGAGTATAAGACGCAGCCAAATTTTCAACCTCTTTTAGGAGGGTGGGGAGCTTGCGTCTTATACTCCCAGAAATATGGTACTCACCCGCTGTGGAGAAATATTGTTTGAGTTAAGCAACTATAAACTACGAGTAGCCGTTGTCGACTTGCAACAGTTCGTTTCAAAGTTACCACAGCACTGAAAAAAGGGTCTTATGAACATGTTTCACCCGCATGACTGTTGCGTGATCAAAATTCAAACAATTAGCAACTGGCACGTAATTATGACAGTTGGTAGCATCCCGGGAAGATCTTTGGGATCTTCTGGCAAGCAAAGTTGATGGGGAAGCCGAATTCACTTAACAATTACTGATTCACTTAACAACTGTGGCAGGACAGGTCCTAGAATATGGGCGAAAACTGTCTCGCTGTAGCCGCGGAAATTTGGGGCTCAATTGTGGTGGTTAAGTCAAGGAATAACAATATTTCGTTGTTATTGTAAACAATAAGTTCCCCCTTTAGGATTAGCTACCGAAGGCAAAACCCAGAAGAACGGAAAGTATCGGTCAAAAGCCGAGGACTAGCTATATGCATGCAACACAGTCACCGAGGCTGTGCATTTAACTCTGCCTTGAACACGTTTGTGTGTGTGTGGGGGGGGGGGTGTTCCTCACTCTGTGTGTATCCAATAAATCAAATTTCCGTT